TTTTCCTGAAGTGATGCTCATTGACGCGACGCATAACACCAACGAATCGCGCTACAAGCTCTTCTCGTTCATGGTTAACGATGTGTACGGACATGTAAGTAAATGTACCTGACGTTACATCCTATGTGCCTCTAGTTACACTTTTACTGTTTGCGTAGCTTCAGCTACAACATGTACTTGATATGTACAAATTCTTACTTATGAGTTGTTAACGTAATGCTAGGGTCAATACGTACACCACAGTCTCATGGAGAACGAAAGTGCAGAGTGTCTTTCAGATGCTATCGGGTCGTTCAAGTTTAACAACTCTTCGTGGGAGCAAGTCAGGGTAATTGTGATTGACAAGGACATGGGTGAATTGGGATTACTAGAAATGGGAAGTTATTATCAGGCGACTTCTTCTGAAGGGTGGCCGCGAGACTTCGTTCGGTAGTGTGCCCTATAACGGACTACTAACGCTTCGAGAAAATATGTGGATGGATGATTCATGCATGGGGCATGGGATTGCTCTACTCCAACGAGAACACCCGGATGTTGGCATCGTTAACCCGATCTTCAATCGTTTCCACAATAAAGACGCCCGGCTCAGGGCTATTAATGCAGGCAAGCCTTTCAAGAAAACGAACCAGATCATTCTGTTGCCGCTACACATAGACAACAACCACTGGTGTGGAGCAATTTTCGATTATCGCAGCGAACGTCGAGGAGTCCTGGTGTTCGACCCCTTGCAAGACCCCAAGTCAAAATATTACGCCAAATGCGAAGAACTACTGAAAGACGTGTTTTTAGAAGGTGAAGACAGCTCCATACCCTTGCCGATTCAGAGAGTCACGAATGTACGCCAGCCGGACTTCTCAAGCTGTGGAGCAGCTGTTTTACTATTCTTTGAGTGCTACCTCACCGGCATCGATATGCCGGAAAAGCTCAGCCATGCCTCAATGCGTTTTTTCAGGCTTCGGTACATGTTAAAGTGCCTGCAGTAGGCGAGTTAGGAAGTCGATAACATGAAGATAATGTACCCCTGTAGTTCGCATTGTGATGCCTCTGTCTGTTGATTCCAATGTGTGCGTGCTGCGGTGATACTGTTGATCTGCGTAAAGTGAAAGATACTGGTCATGGTCTGCTCTACTCTAGCAGTACTCGTCAGGCAAATTTTCACTAAGTGCTTCGTACCTTCGGGTGACATTCATGCATTCCAGTTACATTACAGCAACACTTCATGCTACCAGTCGCGTGACTGGCTGTCGTCGCAAGCACCGATATCTCTAAAAATGATGAATTTTTTAATCTGTTAAAATTAAATTACCGTAATATATTTTCGCGTAGTACCTTTAGTACGTATCTCGGGACCAATTAACACGAAGTGGCTCGAGTCACTCACACAGTGTAACCCATACATTCGCTTAAGTACGAGCTACTCGGTACATGTACCTCTAACATTGATCATATTTTTTAGTACGCCTGGGCGCTTTGTGCGGGGTTAGACGGTAGCTGCTACCTTTCTTTTCTTTGGCCGGCCTCGTTTGCGTTTTGACTGGGCTTCGTTATGTGCCTGATTTTACTGCTCCACTACCGGTAGTTACCGTGTCAAAGTCTTTCTAAATACATTTTCTACTTTGTTTTACTGCAATTTTTAGCCGGTAGTTTTCTCGCCCGGGCTCACGCCAAAGGTTTCATGGACCACACGCGATCCCAGCGGGTTATCCTAGTATTAGAGTTTTGCAACTAACTTGGCAAGCGTCTTGAGAGCTACTACAGTATAAAAGTCGATGTATGATTGTATGCGCCCTTCTTCTCTAATGCCGGCCACAAACGCCTTGACCGCCATCTTATTCCGGTCCGGCCCCACAAAAAGTTGCTGATTTGGGCTGTCCAATACGAACAAGTCCTTCGTGGCAAAATGCAACTAATTGGTTACTTGCGCACTTGCTTTCCAAGTACGAAGCACACAGACACAACTCCACGACTTAACTGTACTGAAAAGACTGCCCGTTCACTTGCATTTACTATGCCACTCTATCCATCCGGGTAAAAGAAACCCCTAACGCTTTGCTCGAAATGTTTAGACCAAATCCCGAGGAGAACAGCAGCATATTAGCTTACCGCCGCTGTCTCGCGCCTTGTGTCGTCCGAACGCCGTCTCCCCCAAGCCCACACGTCGCGCCGCCCTCCCCCTAATACGCCGAAGAACTCTCCGCCCAAGTTCCAGCGTCTCTCTCCGCGGCGTGGCTATGATATGGACGGCCCTCGCCGTGGCCACCATGGCGCTGTCCAGTCTATCGACCGGTATGACTATGGTGAGCCTCCGACGTAGCTGGGACCTGCACGTATCCAGTGTCCGATGGCTCTTCTTCTTCTTCTTCCTTTACCTGTGGCTCTGGAGTAGCACGCGCGTCTTGTATCTGCTCTGGGTGAGCTTCTACCCTATCGAGACCACCACGTCCGACTACGCGTCGTCCTCGTCGAACGAGGACGAAGTAATTTACGACCGCTACAGTAGCATGGGAATCTACACTGTCTTACAGCTAGAAGAGACCCACGACGCCTTCGCTACAGCCTTACTATGCTTCGGAGACGCTGCGCTCTTCGCGGTGGCGCTCTGGATGTTCCCGCTTACGTACGAATTGTCCAATATCGCCGCGAAATCCATGGACAGAGGCGCGGAAAAGGAACGAAAACAGATCAGACTATACGCGTGGAGTGTGCACAGCGTCGTGGTCGTGTTTGCAGGGGTCGAAATGGCCTTGGCTATCGGGTACCAGGGGTATACACAGTATACGCAACGCTGTCTACTCAGCGTATACTTTGTACAGTTCTTCAGCTTCCTGTACATGATCTGGCTCATCGTAAGACTCAAGATCAGAGGCAGGAAGTACGAGAACGTACAAGGCCAGTTCGTCACGTCGCCCGTGTACCAGCGACTCAAACGCATCATGATCGTGTACGCGCTCTTCTCTTTGCAGTACCAATTGGCGTCGGTGGTCATGTACGCGTCCACAGACAACGAAGACAAGTTGCTGGACTTTATCAGTGTCAGTTTAATCGTCTACCATCTCTCGGGTCTGGCGCTTGCCGTCACGACCATGTGTAGTCAAGCCTGTGTCCTCAATATGTGTAGGTCGTGTCTGCCTGACGACGTGGAGGCTCAGATCCAGTCGAGATTCATGCAGGGAGATCTCTTGTCTCCTAGAGACACACAGGTGCTCATGGAGTCGGCAGAGCCACCTCTGGTCAATCCCGTGTTCGTGTTTACTGATGTCGAGTCGTCCAGTGCGCTGTGGGCTGTGGGCGATGGGTTAGTGATGCAACGTGCCACTGAGATCCACGATAATATCCTTCGTGCGTCGCTTATGAAGTACAGAGGGTACGAGATCACTACAGCCGGCGACGCCTTCCAACTCGCGTTCCACACGGTCCGTGAGGCGGTGGAGTACTGTTTGGATGTGCAACTCCAGTTGCTAGTTGCCAATTGGCCCAAAGAACTGCATGGCATGTTGCCAGCTACCAGGAAACAACGTGCAGGGCATCGATTAATTTTCGGAGGTCTTCGTGTACGGATGGGTATTCACGATGCAGTAGACGCAGACGGCGCGTTGATCTTGGACGTCCACGCGGTGACCGGCAAGATGATCTACACCGGTGCGTCTGAAGTCATCGCGAATGAGATCGGAGACTTGGGAGACGGGGGTCAGATCCTGGTCACCAAGCGTGTAGCCGACTGGCTCGTCATGTACGAAGACTTGGTGGCCATCGACTTTATCGTCGATAGAGTGGGTGAGTATTCGATTCCGCAGATTAAAGCCAAGTTGGAAGTGTATCAGGTGTTGCCGGAAGTGCTGAGTGGACGCAAGAAAATGTTCTCGTCGACTCTAAAGAAGCGTAGAGCGACCACAGCGTCGTCTCTGTACTCGGTCGCGTCCAGCAACCGGTCGCGACTGTCAAGCAACGGCGGACAACTGCCACTTCCTGAACAGCGACGACGGATGTCTAGACCGCCGCCGTTAGCGCCGCCGCCCGATCGCACGCCAGTTCAAGGCGGACTCAGTCGATTCGGCCGCGTGCAGCGGTCGTTCTTGCGTATCGATCACGGCTCGTTCTACACGCGCGCCACGAGCATGTAGTCTGGTTACTAACTTATTATTAAACAAAGAGAATATACTAGTCGTTCCTGCATTGCAAGCAACAACTCGGCAACGAAGGCTGACGAAGGCGGGCGCTGGACTCGCTCAGATAGATGAACAGCTGTACTCAGACAAAATAGAATGACATCCGGCAAAAAAATTTGGTAGTTGCTATACCAGACGCAGTTTTTTTTTTAGTTTTTCTTAAAGCAAACTACGCACTTCAAAGTTTATTTATAGCGTTTTCCATGACCGTGTGTTAAGCTTGTAGTGCAGCAATTTTTTGGAATGAGCATCCATCAAGAGTTGGCCAGTTGGCAGCAATTATACCATCTAGTGGGAGTATTCCTTCTGTCCAGCTTGCCAGTCCATAATAAACGCTAAAAAAGGCAAGCAAACGGATAGTTGGAGCATCTCTACTGTTGTCTGGATGCCACAAAGACAAGGGCGGTTTCACGAAATCAGAGACAACCACGACAAGTCTAACGCTAAGAATGGAGGCAATTCTCACAGAAAATGCAAACGAGCGTGGTGGCATGTTTTTCGTTGCCGAAAAGAAACCCGACTTACGTTGCAGCGTAAAACTAAAGTTTTGAGTGGCAGTAGGACCTGTCACGTTGGTCGTGGTTTGGTTGAGAGCACAATCCCATCCCTGCTAAATTAAAGGCAACGCGGTTGGTCAGACAGCTTGCCGGTTTTCAGCAACGTCATTCTGATTTAGTGGAAAAAGAAAATCTTTGGTATCGTCACCGTTGAACGGATCATTGCGATGTCTCGCAGCGGTGACGACACCAAGCGTGGTGCAGCGATAGCCTGCGTAGAGTGGCTCAGTTTTGTATTCTTCATCCGAAGCTCAAGACTCCAAGCAGCTTGACCACAATGCAGAACTCGTGCGCCCCCATGCAAAACCTGTCGTTTGTCCTCGAAAAGGGAGGCGCAGTCAAGTTCGAAGACCGTCCGGTGCCTGAGATCGTGGACCCTCACGACGTGATCGTGAACGTCCGCTACACTGGAATTTGTGGCAGTGACGTGCACTACTGCACGCACGGCTGTATTGGCAAGTACGTGGTGGACAAACCCATGGTTCTAGGACACGAATCCGCAGGTGTCGTGCACGCTGTGGGGTCCGCCGTCAAGACTCTCAAAGTAGGCGATGAAGTGGCCATGGAACCTGGAGTTCCGTGCCGACGATGCCAGCGTTGCCGCGAGGGAAACTACAACTTGTGTCCGGACATGGCATTCGCGGCTACACCCCCGTACGACGGAACATTGGCCAAGTTCTACCGCATCCCCGAGGATTTCTGCTACAAACTGCCGTCCAACGTCAGTATGCAGGAAGGAGCGATGCTTGAACCCACTGCTGTTGCCGTTCACTTCTGCCGTCTAGCTAAAGTGAGTCCTGGCAACAAAGTTGTGGTGTTTGGTGTCGGCCCCGTGGGTCTGTTGACTTGCAAAGTGGCTCGGAACGTGTTTGGGGCTACGACGGTAGTCGCAGTGGACGTCAACGAGAAGCGTCTTGCGGTCGCTATGGAACACGGTGCGACGCACGTGTTTCAGGGGAAACTGGGTACGACGCCTCAGGAGACGGCCGAGCAAATTATTGTAGAGTGTGGACTGGGCGACGGCGCCGACATCGTGATCGATGCCAGTGGTGCTGAGTCTTGCATCCAGACGGCAATCTACGTCGCACGCAACGGAGGCACCTTCACACAGGGAGGAATGGGCAAGACGGACATTATGTTCCCAATTGGCATCATGTGTGGCAAGGAGTTACGTGTGACCGGCAGTTTCCGCTACTCAGCAGGCGACTACCAACTAGCGCTCGACATGGTTGCAAGTGGCAAGCTGGAAGTCAGGAGGCTGATTTCGAAGACTGTACCGTTCGAAGAAGCGAAGGAGGCTTTCGACAACGTCAAGCGCGGCAACGGCATCAAGTGGCTCATTGAAGGACCCAACTGAGTGGTGTCAAACTAAATACGGATGAAGAATATTAACCCCCTTTATGAACTTAAAATCCTTTTCCAATCAAGAAATTGCTTTTCATACGGTTGTGGACTCTCTCTGCTCTAACTGACAATTATCACACCAGCCTACGACGACAACCTATTCTCTTTATGTCACCTTTATAATTTAGAAATTGACTCATTCGCATAACGATCATATTACCGGTAGCATTTTTGATGTTTCTGGTGGATGCCGTTTCGGCAAGCCGGTTGCCGCTACGACATCTTTCCATTTTCCAGTAAGCCGTTGAAGCGCAAAACAGATTAATACTGGGGCCGCTCTGAACAGAGGTTCTATTATTAGAACGAAGGCTAATACATGTACAAGCCATTGGTCCTAAAATGTAGAACCGGATTTCTGGTGCTCCTCAGTGGCCTGGCAAGTACTTACCAGTCAATAACAGTACCGGTATCCAATACATGTATCGAATATCGATTGTTGATGTAATCTCGCGCTTTGCTAGCGTAAAAAAACGGATACCGGTAATGTTATTTTTTCATAATTGCAGAATCGCAATACCAATAATGGGAGAAGGTCGTGCTTGGCTTCATTTTAAGTTTCCACTACAAGCTGTCAAGCGAGTGCATCGCGATCATTCGCGAGTTATCCTCTGCACCTTCATAAAATCCATGACCTCAATACCGATACATAATTCCCTCACTTCCGCGACCAGGCATGAGCAAACTCTGGAGCAAAAACGCGCGATCAAATGTAAAGTAATTTTCAGCTGGCCGACGTTTTTAAATATTTTAATTAAAATTTAAGAGAATTGCTACATACTTCGGAGTATTGCAATAATCGCAAAAGTCGGCCACAAAAACAGTGCTGTCGGTTGGAACTGGCAAGGTGCGGTCATTCTTACTCACGACAGGCCCTTGACACACAGTGAGCGCGCGTGGAAAACATAGTGGCGATGGTCTGGACGACGCTGGCCATTTCGGCCATGGGGCTGTCGTGCGTGGCCACGGGGATCACGAGCTACAGCCTCCGCCGGTCCTGGGACTTGCAGATTTCCTGCGTACGGTGGGTTTTTTTCATCTTCTTCGCGTGCTATTGCCTGTACGCCGCTGCGCGCGTCATCTGCATGGTCATAGTGAGTCTCAGGACCGAGTGGGGGCACTCGATCAACGACGACTACATGGACGAACACTACACGACGCTCGGCATCTTCGCACCGCTGCACTCGCGGGTGTCCAGTGACCCCCTCGTGACGGTATTTCAGGTTCTTGGCGACTCGGTTCACTTTTCAGTGGCCACGTGGACATTCCCACTAATCTACGAGCTTGGCCTAATAGCCAGCAAGACAATGGACCGTGGCGCGGAGAAGGAACGAGAACAGATTCAGCGGTATCTGTGGAGTGTGTGGCCCGTCATTGGCGGATTCACGGTCGCAGAGACCATTCTGGCCATAGATAAAGGGGGTTATACGACGACGACACAGGCGTTTAAGCTGGCCATTTACTTTACCATGTTCGCGAGCTTTTTGTACATGCTCTTGGTCGTCTTAAGACTCAAGTGGGGCGGCCGAAAGTACGAAAACGTTCAGGGCCAGTTCGTTACGTCGCCCGTTTATCAACGTATCTCGCGGATCCTGTACGTTAAAATCTTCGAATTTTACTTATAATATTGGAAAGATCTAACAGTATATATTTTGTTTGTGCAGTGTTATCTACGCACTCTTTACGCTTCAGTATCAGCTCGCGTCCGTCATTTCGTACTCGAGGCCGAACGACAGGGACGACCTTAGCGACTATACCAGCATCAGCACCGTCATATATAATATTTCTGGCCTTGCCTTGGCCATCACAACCATGTGCAGTCAGGCGTGTGTGCTTCAAATGTGTCGCTGTTGTATGCCCGACGACGTGGAAGCCCACCTCGAGGCCAGACTCATGCAACCTGGAGAACTCCTGTCCCCTCGAGATACCCAGATCCTCGTTGAATCGGCCGAGCCGCCGTTAGTAAATCCGGTGTTTGTCTTCACAGATATTCAGCAGTCGAGTGCATTATGGGGAGTCGGCGACGGCCTCATCATGCAACAGGCCACTGAGATCCACGACAATATCCTGCGCTCAATGTTGATGAAATATCGTGGCTACGAGATCACAACCGCAGGCGACGCCTTCCAATTGGCCTTCCACACTACCCGTGAGGCAGTCGAATACTGCATGGACGTGCAGTTGCAATTACTGGACGCTCCGTGGCCACGTGAACTGCACGGATTGTTGCCAGCCACTAAGAAACAACGCGCAGGTCGACACTTGGTCTTCCGCGGACTGCGCATACGTATGGGCATCCACGACGCCGTCAACTCGGATGGTACACTGGTACTGGATGTCCACGCTGTTACCGGTAAAATGATCTACACAGGCGCGTCGGAAGTCATCGCCAATGAGATCGGAGACTTGGGTGACGGCGGCCAGATCCTCGTCACCAAACGCGTAGCAGACTGGGTCAATATGTATGCAGACCTGGTCGCAATCCCATGTTCGGTCGACCGTGTGGGCGAGTACACTGTCCCGCAGATTAACGCAACGGTGGACGTATTCCAGGTCCTTCCGGCTGTGTTGGCCAAACGCAAGAAGAAATTCACGACCAATGTCGCCTCGACATTAAAGAGACGTCCCGGCCACGGGGAAAACGGAGCGGCCGGCGCACATTCCTTCACGGCCAACGACGGGACTCCTCCGGGCATGAGCAGTATGGCCGCTCAGCGTCGGCGTCATCTCTACGCTCTACGCGAACAACGTCGCCAACTGGAACAGGGCGTTTTCGGCCGTCCAGCCTCCCACCAGACGCTGATGCGAACGGAGAGTGCCCGGCCGAGCTTCGCGTTCGACACGCGCCCAAGTTATGCGCGTACTACAAGCATGTAAACTATTTATGAGAAAAAAGAGAACTCGCTGGCGGATGCAAGCCAGCAGGGAAGGCTAACGTCATGATGGTCCACGTTGAAGCTGATGATGTCACATATGTCCATTTAGCCATGTTGCCCACTCAAAGACCACTTTACGCTAATACTCGGTCGCGTAGCTTAACGGATAAGGATTCTAACGGCAATATTACAGTGAATACAAGAACTCTGCGTCACGCTGGCAACATAGCGAATCTCGTATTGTACAGGGTCTTTGTAAGGCCAGCCAAGTGACCAGCTGTTTCTTACGCCCGTCCCAAGACGGCAACATTCTATCAAACAAGAAAACCTCCAAAAGTTCGAACGGCTTCTACTAGACAAAAAAGTCTCACGCAACGTCCCAATAAGACTCTCTACAGGCTCGGCCATTTCGTCAATCTCGTCCTTACGTCTCGGCCCGTGTCGCTAGGATGGAGTGGACGATGCTGGCCTTCGTTACCATGGGGTTATCCTGCGTGGCCACCGGGATCACGACCTACAGTCTGCGGCGTAACTGGGACCTGCAGATTTCAAGTGTCCGCTGGCTGTTTTTCATCTTTTTCCTATGCTACTTCTTCTTCTGTCTCGGCCGCGTAGTGTTCATGATAGCTGGCGTCATCAAGCCGCTGGACTCCACGACGGAAGTGGGCGAACAGCTTTTGGCCAACCGGTACAGCAAGCTGGGCGTCTTTTCCGTGTTAAACTTTAAGGTGTCCCATGACGGGCTGGTTACTGTGTTGCTGGTGTGGGGGGACTGTGCGCTCTTCGCAGTAGCCGTGTGGACCTTCCCACTGGCCTACGAGCTCCGACTCATTGCCACCCGATCCATGGATCGTGGGGCCGAGAAGGAGAACGACCAGATCCAATGGTACTCTTGGCGCGTCTGGATCGTCATAGCGAGCTTTATCGTCGTCGAGACAACACTCGCAGCCGTGAAGAAAGGATACACGACCTATACACAGCGGTGTCTACTGGCCGTGTATTTCACGCAGTTCGCCAGCTTCCTGTACATGGTGTGGAACCTTATCCGCCTCAAATGGGTCGGACGGAAGTACGAGAATGTGCAGGGCCAGTTTGTCACGTCGCCCATTTATCAGCGACTTTCTAGGATCATGTACGAAAGAAACTTAAAGTTTATTACGCTGATTTCTATCTTAACGACTTGCTACTCAGGTTCGTATACGCCATCTTCATGCTACAGTTCCAGATCGCTTCCGTTGTCATGTACGCTATGCCGAACCAAGAGTACAAGCTAATCGACTTTATCAGCGTCAGCGCTGTCATCTACTGCACCTCCGGTCTGGCACTCTCTGTTACGACCATGTGTAGTCAAGCCTGCGTCCTCGACTTCTGCCGCTGGTGTTTGCCCGACGACGTTGAAGCCCAAGTTGAAGCGCGCCTCATGCAACCCGGAGAACTGCTGTCACCGCAAGATGCGCAGGTGCTCGTCGAGTCGGTCGAGCCTCCTCTAGCGAACCCTGTGTTTGTTTTCACAGATATCCAACAATCAAGTGCGCTATGGGGCGTCGGCGACGGATTTATCATGCAACGGGCGACCGAGATCCACGACAATATTCTACGATCCTCACTCATGAAGTACCGAGGATACGAAATCACGACCGCAGGTGACGCGTTCCAGTTGGCCTTCCATACAGTTCGTGAGGCCATTGAGTACTGTTTGGACGTACAGATGCAGCTTCTGGAAGCTCCGTGGCCGAAAGAGTTGCACGTGTTACTACCGGCGACTAAGAAGGTGCGTTCAGGCCGTCACCTCCTTTTTTGTGGCCTGCGTGTTCGCATGGGGATCCACGACGCCGTGGATTCAGACGGACCATTAATACTGGACGTACACGCGGTGACGGGGAAAATGACGTACACCGGCGCGTCCGAAGTGATTGCGAACGAGATTGGAGATATCGGCGACGGCGGTCAGATTCTGGTCACGAGACGCATAGCGGACTGGTTGTTCATGTACGCGGATCTGGTGGTCATCCCGTGTTCAGTTGATCGCGTGGGAGAGTACACGGTTCCAATGATCAACGCGACGGTGGAGGTGTTCCAGGTGATTCCACTGGAGCTGGTCAAACGCAAGAAGAAATTCACGACGACACTGAAGAAGCGCGTGGGTACGCATCCGTACGGCAGTTCTCAGTCTATTAATGACAACACGCCGCCTGGTTTGAGCTCGGAGGCCGCTGAACGCAGGCGTAACCTGTACGCGTGGCGTGAACGGCGTCGCCAACTGGAGCAGGTTGCACTTAATCGTCACGCGTCCTCCCACACAATGCTGCTGGCTGATTCTGCCGACTATGAATGGGGCGTCGTGGGCAGTAGCACTTTGTAAATTAACACGTTTAACGAGAATAGTATTTTAAATCTACCGGTAATTTAAAAAAGGCATAAAGGTGAGCTAACCTAGTTCAATGGATTGTGCTGCACCTCAAGAACTTGCATTAGCTTTTAGTTACCGGTTGCATATGCAGCATGTAAGTCTTTGTTATTCAAACTCACTTAGTGAAGAATTGTGTCCCACCGTTGCTCGACGCTGGGTTTTCGGTGCGTTGATGTTCGAAAACAACAAGCACATCGAACGCGTTAGTTTGTCCCCACAAGTCTCGAAATTGGTGCGTTGTATTGATGGGAGTTCCAATGGAACTTCTGTCGACTCAAAACATGCTTTTGACTCATCGAACTTCGATTCGAAGGTTTCGATGAAGCAAAGATACCGTACAGATGTCGTATTGTACGGCATCTGTGCAGCTTGGGATCTGTCCGATGTCGAGAATCACGTTCCCAATCTCTTTGCTTTCTTTCTCTCATACTGGACTGGCCGCGTTCATCGAACGTCGCGTTGGTCCGCCGTGGCGATACTGGCTCCTTGGTGTCCGTAGCTTCGCCGACCAAGCGGAGACGCGGAACGTGCACCATTTCCCGATCAACTCCACTTGAAAGCGTCGAGGTTTCGTATTTTTCAAACCAAACCGGAGTACACCATGGTCTGGCGAGTCTGCACTCTTGCAGCCGCAGTCGCAGTCAGCGTCGCACACGCTGGTCCGCTGCCCACAGGTGTTTGCTACGCACCGTGGCACCACGCCACCGTCACGTGCGATGTTGTAGGTAAGGACTTGACCGAGGTCGGCCAGTACTTTTCCAGCATCCGTACGTTCCAGACGCTGTTCAGTGGCGTGAACGTCATCAACTCGGCCGCAGCAGCAGGAATCAAAGTGGCTGTAGGCGTACAGCTCACGGAGCCGGCCCTAATTGACGCAGAAATTGAAGCTGTGTGTGACGGTTATAAAGCGAACCCGAGCGCCGTGGAAGTGGTGTACGTTGGTAACGAGAACCTCAAGAACAAGGACTTCGGAACGTTCACGGCCGACCAGCTCGTCGGCTACATTACGCGTATTAAGAAGTGTGTCGGAAAGACACCTGTGGGTTCAGTGCAGCGTATTAACGAATGGCTCTCGGCCGAAGGGGCCGCCACACTATCTGCGGCGTGCGACGTTATTGGTGTCAATATCTACCCGTTTTTCACGAATGGCCCGCAGACGGCCGTGGAAAAACTACAGACGCAATGGGAGCAAATGGCGGTGAAATACGACGCTGATAAGATGCACGTGACCGAAACTGGGTGGCCATCGGAAGGCGAGAACTATGGCGCGAACGTGCCCTCGCTTAAAGGGATGCAGCAGTATATGGACGACTACGTGGAATGGTCCAAGAAGGTCCCACAGAGCTACTGGTTCATGATGTACGACACGACCAAGAGCTACACGGGTGCTGAGTACGAGAAACACTTTGGTGTCTTCACTGCCGATGGAAAGCAGAAAATCACCGTCCCAAGCGGTGATGGCGCCCAGAAGCAATCCAACGCGACGGACTCGTCACCGCAGCAGCAAAAGAAACCAGGCGTATCGGCTGATCCTCCTGCGAGCGTGAAGAAGGATGCGCCTACTAACAAGACCAGTACGACGCCTCCCGCTACCACGGGTACCCCTGTTTACACGTTTCAGCAAGACTCCACGGGCAATGAAGCAGCGGGCACTGTAGCTCCATTCTCTGAAGAAGGAACTGGAACCTGTAGCCAGATCGTATCGTCTGGAGACGCCGCCGTTGGTATCAAGATCGTCACTGACAAGAGCTGCGCGTCTGGAGGTGTCGGGTGTCTTGATAAGATATGCAGATTCTGCAAGGAAGTCAGCTCTCCGGCATCGTCCAAGTTCGTCGACTGTGCCTCGATTGAAGGGAAATCACCGAAGCTGTAGATTCAACGTCATCGAGATGTGTTTTTGTAGCTCTAGGGAAGTGAATCTCGGCTTTCGCTTTGTGTTCAACGTAAGGGAGTCGCAGGAAACTCCAAGTTGATCAAGGGGTTTGTAACTTAGACAACTTGATTAACAAGAAATGGTTTGGCTACGATCAGCTTCAACTATTTGTGCGATTATGAACAGAATCTGATGTCGAGATACATGTACACTAATTGGATGCCGTTCGTGACACTGACAGCTCCGTGTTTACAAGTGCACTATTGCCGTTTGCGGAGATTAACCCTGCACTTGCCGGCATCTTCAGCCGTGGTTGCAACCGGAGTCGCCTCAGCCTGAATCGAACCTTCCGAAAGAGTCTCCGGGTCAGTGAATACAGGCGTCGGAGCTGTCGTCGTGGCAGCAGGGACAGACTCAGTTGCGGTATCCATTGCGATTGGAGCAGTCGTCGAAGCTGTGGTAGGAGCATCAGTGACCACAGGGGCAGTCGTACTAGGTGTATCAGCTGCAATAGGAATTTCTGTCGGAGTAATTGCCGAGAAGTCAATGACAACAGGGGCAGTCGTTGAAGGCGTCGTGGCCACCGGAGCTTCTGTCGTGATAGGAGCATCGGTAGTATCCTGAGTCGAGCCCGAAGAGGACTGTTGCGTCGTGACGCTGTCACCGTCAGGGATCGTGACCTTCTGCGTTCCGTCCGAAGTGAACAAACCGAAGTGCTTCTCGTACTCTGCTCCCGTATAACTGACAGTCGTATCGTACATCATGAACCAGTACGACTGCCCCACACTCTTGGACCACGTGACGTAGTCGTTCAAAAACTGTTGCATTGTCTCAAGTGTCGGTGTGTTGCTTTGGTAGTTCTCGCCACTGGAGGGCCAGCCCGTCTCCGTTAAGTGGAGTTTACTTGCGTCATACATTGCCGTCATCTGGCTCCATTGAGCTTCTAGTTTTTTCACTGGAGTCAGGTCGCTCACAGTGAAGAACGGGTAAATGTTGACTCCGATGACGTCCGACGCTGCTTCTAACTTTGCCGCGCCGTCGGCCGTGAGCCACTCGTTGATGCGTTGTACCGAACCAACAGGCGTATCCCCTACGCACGTTTTAAGCTGGTTAATGTAGATCACCAATTGCTCAGCTGTGTACGTTCCAAAGTCGCCGTTCTTGAGGTTTTCATTGCCGACATACACCGCTTCAATCGCGTTCGGGTTAGACTTGTACCCTTGGCACACCGCGTCGATCTCAGAGTTGATGGCCGAGGCGTTGGTAAGCTGCAAGCCGACAGCAACTTTAAGACCCGCTGCAGCTGCTGCTTCGATGACGTTGACACCGCTGAATTGCGCTTGATACGTGCGGACGCTCGAGAAATATTGCGCGATCTCAGTCATATCTGCACCGACGACGGCGGCATCAACGGTGCTGTGGTGCCACGGGGCGTAGCACACACCCGTCGGTAATGCGGCGGCATCCGCACCGACCACGAGTGTAGCCATCGCCACAGCGACACAAAGGCTGGAAGAGAAGACCATGGCCGCTTGAGAATGAGCTGGCTTGTGCTTTGAAAAGACAGTTGAGAAGTGAGAACTCGGATGGACGGCACCATCGGTCACACTCGCTCGAGCCGCTCGCTCGAGCCGAAGGGACAGTAAGTAGTCGGAATGAATGTGGAGGGGCAGGAAGGTTGTGGGGAGCGGAGGATGAAGTTGCGTTGCCTTACGGCACTTGGGCCGCCGCATGGATTCCACGAAGGATCGATCGAATAGCTATTTCTCGAAGCTGATCTTGCCTTGTAACGGCAGTTCACTGGTTGTATCTGCTCGCTAAACGTTCTGATTTCGACAACGACGACACCACCGTCACTTAATGGTAGAATTTCTGGAGAGTAGTCTCGATGTAGAGATGTCGCTAGGTAGAAAGGTACATGCGCAATGATCCGGGCTTTAATGCAGCAGATACTGGTACTCTTGCGATCGATATGTCGGCCCTTATGTCTTTTTTGTGCGACGTCCAATGCGTTAGGCTTAAAAAGACGAGCGAAACATAAGAGAATTGGATCAGACTACCAGGTCCCCGGTACTTCATGAACTAAGCAATGGCTTCAAGTTGCACACGCTCTAGCGTAAAGGCTTGTCCCTTCGAATAAAAAAGAAATACAACGATTGAAGTGGTATGTGTACAAAAACTGTTTTGTTTCTCCTTTATGCACCTCCGCTACATGCTCCAATTTCCTAGCTACGTAGCTGAGTCGTTTACATCAACAACTTACAGGTGCCTTACATGGCGCAGTCCTTGCCAGACTGCACCACCGGAGCAGGGGTCACCGAAGGAGTGTCCGGGGTAGGAACGTCCTGCGTGGGGACATCGACCGAAGGGGTTCCCTGAACAGGGGTCTCCTGGGCGGGGGTGTCCTGGGCAGGGATTTCACCAGTAGGGTTGGTAGGGGCCTCCGTACGGTACTCGGGGACGTCCACGGCGTACAGTGGCTCAGTCGGGGCAGGGGTGCCCTGCTGGGTCTGGTCACCACCATTGTTAGCAGGCGGGGTGCCCGGGGCCTCCGTGCGGTACTCCGGCACGTCAACGGCGTACTGCGGCTCAGTCGGGGCAGGGGTGCCCTGCTGGGTCTGGTCACCACCGTCGTTAGCAGGCGGGGTGCCAGGGGCCTCCGTGCGGTACTCGGGCACGTCAACAGCGTACTGCTGCTCAGTCGGGACAGGGGTGCCCTGCTGAGTCTGGCTGCCCGTGGAGCTGCCCTGAATCTGGCTGCCCTGCGTAGGCGTCGTCGTCGTGGATCCATCCTTGAAGCCACCGGGGATCGACACCTTCGGGTTGCCGTCCTTGTCGAAGCAGCCGAAGTGCTTCTCGTACTCGGCGCCGGTGTAGCTGGTGGTCGTGTCGAACATCATGAACCAGAACGACTCTCCCTTGCCAGCCGACCACTGGACGAAGTCGTTGAGGTACTCCTGCATGATCACGAGCGACGGAGTGTTACCGGACCAGGTCTCACCCTCCGTAGGCCAGCCAGTCTCAGTCAGCTGAATCTTGCCGGCGTCGTACTTGGATGTCATCTGCTTCCACTGAGCTTCGAGCTTCTCAATGGGCTTCTGCTCACCCTGTGTGAAGAACGGGTAGATGTTTGCACCTTGCTTGTCGCAAGCACCGGCGACTTGGTCGACACCGGGAGCAGAGTTCCACTCGTTAATGCGCTGCACCGTACCAACAGGCACACCACCGCCTGTGCACTCCTTGACCTTCTGGATGTAGCCCACGAGCTGGTCGGCGCTGACCGTGCCGAAGTCGCCGTTCTGCAGGCACTCGTTACCGACCCAAATGGTGTCGACGGCACTGGGGTTTCGCTTGTAGCCGTCACATACGGCCTGGATCTCGGCGTCGACCGAAGCCAGGTCGTTCATCTGCACACCGGGAGAAACCTTGACGCCAGCCTCGGCGGCAATGTCAATGACGTTGAGCCCGCTCATGCGGGTCTCGAACGTACGGAAGCTCGAGAAGAACTGGCCAATCTTTTGAATGTCACCCTTGAGGACGTCCTTGTTGACGGTCAAGTGGTGCCACGGAGCGTAGCAAGTGCCCGTGGCATCGGCAGAGCTGATCGCCAATGCGGCCATCATGGCGAACGTAGTCTTGTAGGTAGCACACACCATCTTTGAAACAAGTCGAAGGGATGAAGATGTAGAGAGGTGCGGGTGCTGGGTAGTTCCTTGCGCTGGACGAGGAAAATTGGGGAATGAACAGGTTCGTGAAGCTGTGCTCCCGTTCTGAGGAGACGAGAGAGGAGGCGAGCGAGCGCTCTGCTGTTCGAACTGACGTTCGGTAAGAGACACTCGCCTCTGCGGGCAAGAGACCGTCGTCTTTTACACATGACCATCCATGTGGTACAATCGAAGACTTGGCAGAGATTGCCAGCGTCCTCAAACTTCGAGGTGACAGCAGGTTTAAGCGTGGCACATGGTAGGGAACGACGACTATCGTCCGACGCGTTCACACCGAGCTGACTGGATTTCGGAGAAGCAATTGTAATGGAAGAAGTCATCTTGAGTTCCCCAATACATGTACAGTAACGTCGGCCAGGAGACTCAGTTATTTTAGATGAGTCCCAAAGCAATTTGCAGAGGCAGGTCCTCGCTGTCTCGTTTGCTTACAACCGCGCGTTCGTGGCACGCACGCTGCACCGGACTTCGCATAGGAATTTCCTATTAGGAAAGACCCGACGATCGACAAGCGTGACGCATGTAGATACAAATCAACGATGCGAGGTAAGATGAGAAGAAGAAGAAAATCTACCGGTTGATATTACGAGAAACTTCCATTGGAAAGCGTACAGTTCTGTCCTCGTAAAATGCATTCGGTCCATCCAAAGTGTCTCTTTCAAAATTCAGACCCACCAGGATCTTGCTTAAGAGACTGAAAGTCTCAGCGATCGTCCACGCGTTTTACATCGCGCAATTGGCGGTCGTCGTCGTGGCAGTCGTAACCGCCGGAGTCACGGCAGGGCTGTCTGTAGTCGCGACCGTCGTGTCCTCTTCCTCCGAGGCGAGGGTATCGCCTGACGTCGTAGTGGTCGGTGCGGAAGTGGCCTCCTCCGTGGCCGAATCGTCGGCGTACGACGTAGTTTGCTGGGTTGAATCATCCGTGGCCGAGCTCTGGGTAGTCTGCTGAGTCGAGTCTTCCGAGGTCGATGTCGAGCTCTGCGCTGTCTGCTGCGTGGTGTCCTCGCTAGTGGAAGCGGTCGTTGACGTCGTGGTGGAGTTAGTATTGCCGCCCGGGATGGTCACGTGAGCGACCATGTCGTCGCCGAAGATACCGAAGTGTGTCTCGTAGTTGGCGCCCGTATAGCTCGTGGTGGTGTCGTACATCATGAACCAGTAGCTCGACTGCACGCTGGAGGACCAGGTGGCCCAGTCATCCAGGTACTGCTGCATGCCATCGTACGATGGCGAGTTGCCCTCGTAGTCGTCGCCCTCGTACGGCCAGCCTGTTTCGGTCACATGCATTGTGCTCTCGTCGTATCCAGCCGCCAGCATCTGGGCCCACTGGGTCTCGAGCTTGGACACCGACGTACTGTCGCCCTGGGTGAAGAACGGGTAGATGTTAACGCCGATGACATCGCAAGCGGCCGCCAGCGTGGAGGCGTCATCTGCATTCAGCCACTCGTTGATGCGCTGCACGGAGCCGACGGGCACAGCATTGCTCGTGCATTCCTTAACTTGCGAAATGTAGCCGGCTAGGGTGTCGGCGCTGAAAGAGCCATAGTCTCCGCTAACCAGGTCCTCGTTACCCACGTACAACGGCTTCGATAGCATCCGGATACGACGAGTAGCCGTCACACACGGCCTGGATCTCTGAGGCAATGGCCGACGAGTCCGTGAGCTGTACACCCACGGCCACTTTGAGACCTGCGTTGGCCGCCGTCTCAATGACGTTAATACCGCTGTATTGCGCCTGGAAAGATCGGAATGCCGTGAAATACTCGGCGATCTGGGCCATGTCGGTGGCCAGCACGTCGCTAGTCACGGTGTCGTGATGCCAAGGCGCGTAGCATACGCCGGGCAGGGTAGCGTCCACAGCGTCTGTAGCGAGGACAGCCAGCACTGCGACGACGGTCATGTACGACGTGCACACCATTGTCAATAGAGCTCTAAAGGCGATTCAGATCGATGCGAGTAAGAAAGCGAATTGAGTAATGACTTGCATGGCTGTCGACTAGCAAATAGCGGCCACGGCCGAGATGACAAAGAGACTTTCGCATCGGCGACCGATACTTAAGGATGGAGGTGACACATTAGAACACAAGTGTCATGCATGGCATTTTAGAGATCTATGGCTGGCGAAAGATACTCGAGGAAGTGCCCTGCACATCGATGTGAGCTGCTTCGCGACTCAAAGCGCACGGGTGGCACCGCCAGATGGCCATTTGACAATCGACAGGGTGGAAAAAAGCCACCCGCTAGCCGGTTTCCAGTCACCGCCATGCCCAAAAAAATCCGCTGTGAGCGGATCTGCTGCCTCCTTTTGCCAAAAGTTTTGGGGCAAATGTCTTGAGCCAGCGCAACTTGCGTCGTAACTGGTGGTGGAGCCTTAGTCGTAAGGGAACTACTACATGTACTAAGGTGCGACGACGGCGGTCGTTATTAGCGACACCTTAATCACTGTAACTTGGTAAATGTAACCGAAAATGACTCTGCTTTTGGCGCCGGTTACATGTAAAGATTGCCGGTCTTTTTGCGTTTGTGGTACGGCCGGGTTTCTTGCACAGCCCGTGGGTGACGGCCCATCAGTGTCACTGACTCAGTGAGCACGAGAAAAGCAGCGAGCATAGTGGCGTACATGTATCATACAGTAGCTTTCTGCACTGCCACAAAAGACACGCTGATTTCCGCCATCCGCGCGGATAGCCGCGGAACGTTAGCGTGGCACCATCGTCGAGGCTAAGACTTGTTAAGTGAGATGGGTGGGTGCTCGAACGTGTACATGTACCGTGTACAGCAACTACATGTATAATAATTTGTCCCCTCCCCAAAATACCCGCCCTCTGGGTTCTTTCGATATAAGAGGGTTGTCCAGATAAAAAGTGATAGATTAAATATCACTGAGCTCGTAGTACACAGAAAAAAAACCGAGCTGTCACCACGAGCGTTGTCCGAATAGAAAAAGTGATTAATTTTCCCCCGACAACTTTTTTTCTGCGAAGAAAAAAATGAGGCCAAATAAATCGTCGCATGTCCAAGTGAGAAATTGGCTCCGCCAAATTTATTCCACCAAACCTATTTAAATTCATACAATCATTTTGATAGGTTGTTCCCTTGCACTTCAATTCCGCACGCGCATTGCTGAAAGAAGACGGCCAGCTGGAGCACGCTATGTCTACGCAGGAGTGCAGCAACGCTTTGGCAAGTGAAGAGACCCCTCCAATTGCAGGCTTATCTGAAAGACTCGAGGTGATCCGTGGGAAGGAAATGGATCCAGTGCTGTGGTCTGAAGCCTCCAGCATCGAAAGCGGGGAAGACTCTCAGCAATCGTCAAGCGAAGCTACTGAAGCCCCACCGACAATGAAAGCTCGACTGGCCTCAGATCAAGTTAACGTGAGAGCATCACGTACGAGCATCCCGACCAAGAAGAAGGCTGTTTTCAAGAAGAAGCAAGAAGACGAAGAAGGCAGCTCCCAAGAAGAGCGCTCCTGCTAAGAAGACATCCGCTCCGAAAAAATCTAATACCCCAGCCCCACCGATGCGCTGGACGGTCCCGCTGACAGCGCTAGCAATCGAGACTCGCTACAAAAACCCGCGTGTGCTGAAGAAATTTGCAGTGTCGACAGCAGACACGAAGATGATGCGTGCATAGTGGGAAGCCACGGTCCACACATGTTTGGAGCAAGCCTTGATTGATAACGCCTGGGGTGATGCGGAGCAGCCACGCGACGTGAGCGTGGACCAGTTCAAAAACAAGCTTAATGCTGTTCGCACTGCATATCGAGCGAAGCGTACGCAGCTGCTCGCAACTGGAAACAAAGCGCTGGAGGATACGTCTGGATCAGAAGACGAGGAGGAGGAGGGACAATACGCGGAGATGCCGCGCAATTTTTTCTTCAGTCGTCAGAAAATATCGACGGCAACTTCACATGTGATCCAATGGATGTTAACCCAAAGTACCGTGTCGCTCTTGGCAAAGAGCTCACGGCCTTGTGGCCACTGCTTTGCGACGTCTTTTCAGGTAATCCCGGCTGCACAGGTGAACCAATCATTGAGTCTGGGGTTTCGCGCGACCGACTTACTGAAGACGTAGACGATGAGCATAGTGTTTACGTGAACGGTGACGAATGTGACGAAGCGTGCTCCGATACATCGCTGGATGCACGCAAAGAAGCCAAAGCCAATGCCAAGGCCCGTTCTCAATCAGCCAAACCAAGTTCGAATCTACCTGTGGATGCGATTGCAGGGTCGTTGGAAGCTGGATTCGGATCCATCGAGCGGATTCTGACGACTGGACAGTCTACGAGGTCTGGTGAGGGGGGGGTATAAACGAAGCAATCGTTAAGTTGACGTCGACAATTGAGGCCGCCAACGCTAGTAAAGCTGCATTTTTGAAGATGCAACGCGATGCGGGCCAAGCATTGCGGCAAAGCATGGAGAGTCTCCAGCAGATGTCAGCATCTGCGGTTGAAATTTTTGCGAAGGTGAAGGAGCAGCTATATGGTGTCAACGTCTGATGCAAAATGCCGGAATTGTAGCCATTCCGGGCTACGATACTTTTACTTTATTCGTTATCATGGCGGTAAAATTGCTCCATGTACGTGTTTCTCTTCGCCTCACCCAAATTGATTTCCTCTTCCGTTCGCTCCCAGTGAGGGTCAAATGCGTGCATTGCTGGCATTGCCGTTCTACGTGATACATCGTCTCGATTCCATTCAAACTCCTCTTCATCACCTATGTCAACGAGCAGGTTGTGAAGTACTGCTGTGCTACATATCATTCGTGCATTCGTCGTGTGTGCATGACGATCTGTCACGCCATTCAGCACTTTGAAACGCCCTTTGATTTTCCCGAACACACACTCAACAAATATGCGTGTTGATGAAAGGTGAAAATTGAAGCTGTTCAATAAGTGAATACATTAGTTAATACATCAATGTTGGGCCGTGGCACGAGTACAGAGGTCACCGTTCAACTTACTATCGTTGTTTTCGCGACAACCGATTTCCTCGTCGTTTGTCAAAAGGAACCGTAAGAAACGGCCAAATCTTGAATTCTGCATCGGCTAGCCAGTTGATCCCAGGAGGACACAAGTATCGTGCGCGGGGCCCAAGTACTTCAGATTGATTCCACATCGATTGATCGGAATTACTTCCAGTGAACACACCAAAGTATCGAAATTTACCACGATAGTCGACAGCAGCCAAACAGTTGTAGGATGGATTTCCGCTCTTGTCGTAGAAACCCTGAGCGAAGCGACCACATCAAACCATTAGCGCACGCATCGCAGTAGCAAAATCAAACAGCGCCAGACCATGTGATTCCTTGGACGGCGAGTTCGAATAATAGTGCCGTCAAAGACACATGCCACATCCGGAAAATCACTTCCGCGTCGAGCAAACCCTTCCACCAGTCCATCCCATTCGTCTACAGCATCGGGCGCTGGGAAAAAAATGACATCATGCATCATGTCGTAGAGAAGATCTTCAAGGCGTTTAATGTAAACTCCAGCAACAGCTCTTGACGTTCCTAGTTGCACAGCTGCCCCTCCTATCCCGTCACCATCAATGCCACAGCCATTGCCGTAATAGGTTAACAAGACAGCGAGCCCGAAATCAAAGTTGTACTGAGTGTTTGACCCAGGTAAACCATACTTGCGGTAATACAACGGCTCGAGCCAGGCTACCAGGGCATCAAATGACTCCGGGCTGCAGCGCACTGTCTTCCTGTAGGCTGTATGAGATCGTTGTGACTTCAGACGTGCAAAAACGTCAGCCCGGACTATGATTTTCTCTTGAGTAGGTCCACGAATCGATCTTCCGTCCAGTTGACCGACCGACACAACCAAAAGAATGTACAGCAAGCACAGCGCCAAGATCTCCTCTACGTCCAGGTCAACGAAATGGTCTCCTTCCTCGTCGTCCATGCCATCAGCAGCTTCATCAAGATCTCCACGCAGCTGTGTCATTCCAGCGTAGCGAGAGGCACTGTAGTCTGCGAGTTGGCTCCGTGTTGATGAGCTACTCGACAGTCTTCTCTCGCCACCACCTTCTATGCTAAACAAACGTGGTCTGTCCTCCTTGTCGGAATCTGGACAGCCCCTAGCTCCCTTGCCAGCGTCGTATTTGTTTCATAGTTGCTGTTTTCTAGCACAATGACGGCATCATCCCAGTTAAAGCAAGCATCAAGTAGGATCATGACGATTAGACGCACAAGAGTCAATGACCATCGGCATCACACCCTCCGCTCTCCGTTACGCCATCCGCGACGCTTGTGTGTAAATGCACGCTTTAAAGAAGTTGCTCCGCGCAGAAAGCTTCCTCCATTTCGCACTCGACTCGCCACTTCAACACTAAAAAATAAAGCGCGACTCGAAAGAAATAGGTGGCGAGCCTCTTTCTTTTAAAATGAAGCGTCTGCGGCACCTCGTTTTTCTTAGCGCTACTTCACAAAAAAAAAAAGTGAGAAAAATAGCTCACTTTTCTATTTGGACAGCGCTCTAAGCTTACCCAATAATCGACCAGCCAACTTTTGTTGACAAAACCTATGATATTGCATACAACATTCTTATTAAAAGGTTCATCCTGGTAAGCTCGTAACAGGCATTGTTTTGCTGCAGTCGTCGCCGACGATTGCCTCTCTACTCATGGACCAAGCTGACTAATTTCATGTGGGTAGCCTGCACATAGCAGGAGCCTCCAAACCCCCACCATCGCTCGGGTTGCCGTCCTATTACGCACACTTTGAAGAGCATCTCTCAGAAAAAGCTTGCAAGAAAGACACGAGCTAGCAGGCGCATCGCAATATACGCTTGATCACGATGCACCACCAAAGAGAGCGCGAGGCTCAAGTCTTTCTGCACAGTTAACTACGCCAGCTCAAGTGTCTATCAATGACACGAAAGAGGCGCCAAGGTTCCCATACAGCATCCAGCGCCAATACTGTAACGGACTAGACTAGCTTCAGGACCAAAAAATCAGTCGTTAGCCGTTAAGACAGCGAAAAGGTCAAGAAGAGTAAGATCACCTCAGCCGAGAGAAGCGCAGCTGATGGCATCAGTGCACAGCCCTCTAACAAGAAGGTCCGTAAAGTCTCAAAACCCGCTGCTGAAAAGACCAGGCAAGGAACAAATATGCGCTGGACTGTTGAGCCTGCTGGTCTGGCAGATGTGGTTCGCTTAAAGAACAAGCTGATTCTGGACAAGTTTGCTTCGAAAGCCTCCGATACGAAGGCAATCCGGGACGTGTGGGGGATACTATCAATGTGTTCAATCAACGCGTTTTGGCTGAGCACGCATGGAAAAATGATGTACCCCAGGTGATGTCCATCAAACAGCTCAAGAACAAGCTGAACAGCATTCTGCAGCGGGGCTGCCGTGGCTTTAGCGTCAGAGGAAGACGTTCGACTCAAAGAGTCAGTACTACTAATTTCTTTATCCAAAGAAACTTACAGCCGACGACCAGGGCTTAAAGTTAATACCTCAACTTTTATGCTTCAAAACCAGAAGTGTTTTATTTACTTTTATTGCGGCCAAACTTCCTTCTGTTTAACTTTCAAGCATAGTTAAACCTAATCAAATGCATAACGTGTGGCTTTCAGCCAACGTACTGATAGACCTTGTTAACTCTCCAACTTATGTACTAAGATTTTGTTAACAATCCGGGTACTCCGTACCCCTGTGTGCTCTACACCATGTAACCCCGTTACGCATTCGATCAGCTTACAAATTAAAGCGATCTCGTTTAATGGTCACTCGCGTCCGTGACAGCCACTCCGACAGCGATGAGAGTAAAGAAATTCGCAAATATCCAGAAATGCTTCTGGATTATTTTCTCGAGTCTCTTCCGCCGGCTGCATTGAACTTTGACTGACTCGAAGCGAGCAAAAATCGCACGCATGATCCCCTCAATGTTCATCAGCGGTACCGCGATGCTTTGGGCGCGGAAATGCGGGATTGTGGCCATTTCTTTGTGCGTGTTTTTTCACCGCCCGGGGTGCACTGGTGAATCATTAACCAAGTCGGGCACTGCAGCCGGTGGTGATTTGCCTAGCAGTGGCCAAAGTGAATCATATTTGTCCGACGGTGGTTGCTTCGATACGCCAAGCCAAGCTCGCGAAAGAGCAAAAACAAACAGAGAAGTCAAAGAAACAATCTGAGCGTCAGACTCAAAGAACAAGTTTAAGGGGTCTGGTGGACACTAAGAACAAGTTTGAAGCGTCTGGTGGACACTAGACTTAGGCTCGGTTTGCATCAATTGAGAGGGTGTGGGCTGGTCGCCGAAACCCTCTACAACCAAATGTTGACGTTGTGCAGCTCGTCGGCAATCTAATGTCTTCGATGGAATCCGCCCACGCTGCGCAACAAGCGACCAGTGCAGCTCTGCTTTCTGACGCCCATGCAGAGAACCCGAACGCGAGCCTGGTATTATATTTATTACGTCGTATTATACCGTTTGAGATGTGTCTTATTATTATGGTGTTGCCGTATCTATTGATTTACAGGAAGAAGAAGAATCCGCAGCAGATGTAAACGGTTCTGATACCTTGATGAAGAGGAAGTCATAATCGTATTTATGCTGCTCCTTGCGCTCGCTATCAGGTTTGGCACATTAGACTAAGGATCTCTTCAGGTTCCACCCCGTTAGAAGATTACTGTACGATCAGACTTCTACGCCAAGCTGAAGACACAAAGATCCCGAACTGCTTACAGGAAGACGATTCAGTGTTCGCCTGCTTCATTAGACGCTCTATGTGTCTAATTTGAACCGTTATATTACAAGAAATACGGATTTCCTGGACAAAAAGCTAAAAATTCTTTTGATTGGGGCTCCGTATTATAATGGCATATTACGGAAATGGATGTGGAGAAGATGGGGACGGTATTGGAGGCGCGATGGCCCAGCTAGGGATGTTTCGGGCTGCTTCCAGAGGCTTTATCAGAATCATAGAGAAACTACTTTTCGAGCTGCTGGACGATGTCATCTATTTGTCAGCACCAAGAGCAGACGATGAGTGGAGCGAGTTGGGAAATGGTTTTGCAGCGCGTGGCGCCGATTTTTCAGATTTTGCATGTGTTCTTGACGGCACGCGGATTCGAACGCGCAGGCCTCGCGACCACCAAGTATTGATGTCCTCCAAACATTGTTGAATTTCACATTTGGACATTGACTATTGTGTGTTTGCATCATTGTAGGGCTTCTACGACGTGAGTGGGAAACCGTCCTTTAATTGTCTAACCGCTATCGACTACAGATACAAGTTTCGGTATCTTCTTAGTGGCATCAATCTAAGTGGAACCAGTCTGTCGTTCTTGGAGCCAAGGCTAGAGATCTGTGCCCGCCAAATGTCAATTGGCTGGGAGATGTTGGCTCCAAACTGTGGCTGTTTCTGATGATGCCATCCGATGAACGTAGCGGTCAGCGCTTGACGCGGAAGCTGAGATGGTAATCTAGTCTTACAAGATATATTATAAAGCTAATAATGTGTGTTTATATAACTGTTCGTAGCTACAATTATCATCTCTCCCAAACGCGAATCATCGTGGATCGTGTCTTCGGCAAGATTAAGGCAAGGTTTAAGTGCTGCATGGTGTAAATGATCGGAAAGCCCACATCACAAATGTGATGATAATCTGTGTCGCCGCGGTGCTGCACAATCTGCTGATTGACATAGGCGACAAAGTGTCAGCGATGACGAGTCAAAAAGAAAAACAAGACATGAAGTTAGGAAGTGATGGAAAACTTTGACCAAGGTTGGGAGCGAGCGCAGGAGGAGGTTAATTTAGCAATTCAAAGGAGAAGCATGCACGCGGATCGGTTCTATCAACGCGACAATGAGTAGTGGTAGTTCAAGGTGATGCAGCTACCGGTACACCGTAAAATGAATGAGTCGCACCGTGCGAGGCGGTCGTTTTTCTTCGCAATTTTCTGATGTAGCTTTTCGGTAATCTGGTAAAGACCTGCCATTCCTTTATCTACTGCAAAGATAGCTGTAGGTGGCCTTCCTCTGTTGATATCCTCCGCACAAAGATCAGCATCGAAGCCTGCTTCACTTGCCACCTCTCCTTCAATTTCAGTAAAAAGAGCATCGGGGTTAAAGCCTTATGCAGCTGATGCTCTTCTGTGGACGTCTACAGCGCGAACGGTAGCATTCAGAGCGAAATCCGCTGCTCTCATCTCGCTGCAGACGTGCATAGACCGAGGAGCTGTATCGGGGTATGCACTTGGTGTGTCACTGTCGATGTCCATGGCCCCTTCATCTTGTCCGCTGTGATGCCGGATTCCTTGCCTTTTCAATATAAAAGCAGGATCCATAGAAAAAGCAGGTCCCTGAACTACTTATTTTTTGCGAATTAAAAGACCACAAAACAGAAGCTTTTTTTAGCGGTCCGTTTTATGAAATAAGTAGGCGCCAACATGTAAGTTTTTATTATCTAGACAACCCTGCCTTCCCCTAAATAAACCCTCCGAAAAATACCCCCCTATTATAGTACCCCTGGGAATTCTCACCGGATTGTGAAGAAAGGTGCAGGGGAGAGTGCGGCCAGCTCTGATCCCTCAGTGAGGATACAGAAGAAAAAGCCATAGCAGAATCGGGTACGAGCAAGGGACCGGCGTGCATACACTAAGGAAACGTCAAAGTGGTGTTCGAATCGACAGAGGTGGATGAGGTAGCACGTCAAGTGGAGGCGGTGGCGATGTATGCGACGAGTGCGCTGAGGAAAAAGGACGATGATCAAAATACCGAAGGATGCGGAAGTAGGCAGAGCGACGGTGCTCACGTGGGCGGTAGCGATGTGCATGAAACCCAAGGATGCTCAGACGACGATGGAGCGGTAGTCACACCGGCATTTCCATAAGGACCATTGTGTGTCCATGCACGAGTGGTGGCGCAGAGTTCGCTGCCAGAAGGAGACAGCGCCGGTCG